GTCCAGCGGTTTTGGGCACGTGGCGAAATTGGAATGGCGTGAAATTGTTGCGCGGGTTGCCGAAACTCTGGCCAATTTTCCTGGGTGTTCTTGTTTTCATTTCCTCGCTGCTGACATGGTCTGAAAATAATTTCAAAAAGTTATGCATGACTGGCAAAGAGAATTTCCAAAGTTCCCTTTTTTAATGAATTTTTTATCGAAATGCTGCACCTTTCCATTTCCCCCCTAATTTTTCTGGCATTCATCAAATAATCACCATGGCATATGCAGAGAATTAGGGTGAACATTTCTAATGATGAGATTAAAGCCTAAAATCATATTTTAATAACATGGCACTTATGGAGAAACTGCCAGGACCAAGGAAAAAATTAATTATAACAAGACTTGTTGAAATGGAATTCTTCTGCATTACAAATGACTTGTGTAATGACGAAGTCATCACACAACATTTTATCAGTTGGAAAGATTCACTCAACTTTGAATTTTTCAACCAAAAAGCAAAACGTTGAGAAAGTTTCGAGCTTAAAGATCTTGAATTTTTAGCAATTGATGGAAATAAAAGAGAGGTGAAGTTTCGCCATTCACATCCTCAAAAATTCGCGGACTGAAGACAGTTATTGCTGAGAGCTTAAAAGTTTAAGTATTACTTATATATGTCATAAAAATATTTAAAACTTTAATTTTCAAGAATAACTTTATAAAATATGATATTTTACCTATGCTTTAACGTCGGTTGATGAGGTTTTGTGTTTGTCGAGAATGGATTGCATTTTTTAAATATATATAATAGCTCATTGATTACAGCAAATCGCGTTATTTGCGCAAATTTTTTCGTAACAAAATTCATGACGGAATGAATTTGTTTTGCAATGCAGTGACCCACTGTAAAAGTCAATGATTCTGAAATTCAGATAAAAAAATAGGACACCATTTTTTGCCCAGCTGAGATCAAATATTGGAGCATATGAATTTTAAAAGGGTACTCCAACCTATTCACTTGAAACTGACACATTTGACAGATGCACTATCCATAAAGTTTGTAAATGTCCGGATATTGGAAGGTTTTTAGGTTTTAAAATCTCTGGGCGTGAATGTGGACTTTTCCTAATACTTCTGGGTTTTGTTGTAATTTACTTACGCTTTGATTCATGTAACGTAGCTTTATGGAAAAAAGGATTTCAGTCAGAATTGTTCCGCTTATAATTGCCCAAAATTATTCTGAATCGGGCGATTTATTCCTCAAATTTTCAAAGTTGATCACCATGCGATTCCATTTCTTTTCGGCCGCTCGAATAAGTGGAGAATAATTGCATGTATTTGCCGCTATTTCTAGACACCTATAATTGAACAGATATCCTTTTTTGAACTTTCTTACCGATGTGTCAGAACAGTTAAAAAATCCGAAAGTTTCATGTACTGTATAGACTCGGGTTTCAGAAAAACAAATTATCATATCTTTCTCATTAACATATCTTTTGATGTCTGTGGAACAAAAGACGAGATAGAGAAAAAGAAAACGTTCTCGCTTGAATGACACACAATCAAGGCACAGATGACCATGGTCTTTCTCGTATTCTTTTTCTTTCTGGATTTAAAATCATAAAAAAAAGTGGAGGTATTGAAAAGTGTGGGATAAAAAAAAGGCACACAGACACACACACACACACACATATACGTGGTCGCAAACACGTGCAGCTCGTGTTCGTGACTCGACACAACAGAAGATGGGTAACCAAATGACCTTGCTTCGTGAATCTCCAGTCCTCGATCCATCCGCTCGATTTTCTACTTTTTTAGATTTCTTTTTTTCCTTTTCTTTTTGTAAACCAGATTGCTTTTTTAGTTCCATTTCCATGGGGCGTCAGGTTTTTTGAAATTCGTTTTTATTGGCTCATGGCAGAGATTTCTTCTTCTTCTTATGTTCCCACTCGAGGTTGGGCCTCATTTTATTTTCGTTTTTTGTTTAAATAAAAATTCTTTGGGTAATCTTTCGGATGTTCCTTTCCAATAAAGGCTCAATTTTTTATTTCATTTTATCTAAGTTACGCAATGCAAGCGATTTTTCTGAATGGCTTGAATGAAGCTCTCATCTGAAAAAATATGTTATCTATGAGCAGAAATTTCAGTGCGTTTCAGATCTTGCAGTCAGATTTTTTTTTAACCCAGAAAATTGCATTTTAGAAAATTGCTCAAATTCACACCCGTAAATAGCATCATTCCACTTAGATTGTTGTAAAGACCGGTTGAGTATATTTTGAGTAGAATCATTATTTTATCATGTTGTCATAGATGATGATTAAAAACGCATGATCTTAAGCAGCAAACATTAAAAAAATGTGCAATCATGTAGTTTGAAAAGTATGAATATTTCAGACCATCACTTAGTATTATTGGACACTCCTTGAACCAAATTGAATATAGTACCTCGAAACACGTCTTTTTAAATTTTAAAAATTTACACTACTGTATTCAAAGTTCAGATAATCAGTCCAAATTTCGGTATTCTAACTTCTACATCGAAAGAAAAATGAAAAAAAAAAAATGTTCGGGACTTCTTTTTTAAGAGAACGATTATTTTTAATGCTCATCAGATTAGTCTCTGACTAGAAACCAGATCCTCCTGAATGTTTTGCGCATAAGAATCCAAATCGAACAGATGAAACTGTCCTTTTTTCACAGCACGAACCCTTGCATGCGAGAATATTGTATTAGGAAAATAATATTTTGTAAATTACTGACAAGGTCTATAAATTCAATTAGCTAATTTTTCCCTGGAGAAAATCCGGCGCATCGCGAAAAGTAGCCAAGGTTTTAAAAAAAAAACGAAGGCATGCATTGATTGAATTCCACCTTGAATTTTACGCTCCTGAGGTTTGCCATTAACTTGATTAAAACAAATCCGCGCTTTCCATTGGAAAAGAAGATATATTTGCAATAAAAAACCACAGAGGGGCGATAAATAAATCCCATTGGGTATTTAATTTTATTTTTCGAGGGATAACGATTTTGTCTTATGAGGTTGGAAATTATTTTAAATTGCCTTCATTTGGGAAGAAATTTCAAGCTGGTAATATACCGGGATGATTGGTCTTCTTCTCTGGGGATTTTCTCACCTAGTTTTCGCGGTCGTTGATTCATGCATACATGTTTTTTTTTGGGTATGGATTAGGTTGGGGATGATCGTGCAAGAACCTTCTCCACAGGGGGGTTCTGACCATGACTGAACAGCGTGAAGCGAAATAAACAAGCAGGAAGAGGAGTTTCTAAGTGCGAGGACGAGGTTGCAACGAGTTGGGTTCTCGTGACGGGTTTTCTTATCCTTTGTATTTTTCTTCAGATTTCCACTTTATTCCTTTACTGGTGCATGATCACTCACTTCGTTTTCAAGTCATTTTTGAAATGAAAGGGAAAGTTCAGTGAGATCCCAAGATGCAGACATAATTGGTGCATCAAGAGTGTCCCCAAGTTGAAATGTTCCTAAGTTGAGTTTTGTTTTCCCTTAGACTTACATTATATAATTTTCAATTGGTGTTTTGTGGAAGAAATATTCTTCAGAATTCCCTGATAAAAATGTCAAAAAGTTATGCATGACTGGCAAAGAGAATTTCCAAAGTTTCCTTTTTTAATGAATTTTTTATTGAAATGCTGCACCTTTCCATTTCCCCCCTCATTTTTCTGGCATTCATCAAATAATTTTTTTATGCAATTGAATTTGTGTAAAGGACTTTTTGTCTAACAGACTCGTCCCTTGCACAAATCAAGTCCATTAGATGGGGGTTGACTGTATCTGTTTCTCTTAATTTGGCCTGAAATTTATTTTCAATTTTATCACATAATGCCCCTATGTTGAGTCAGTGTCCTCATGTCAGGCCTAATTTATTGATTTTGTCTGCAAAAATAAGTGTCCCTATGTCAAATTGTCTGCAGGTCAAGGAGTCTGCATGCTGTGGGGGTCTCACTGTATGTGTCTGGATCATGGCTTTCAAACTGATGATGTTCTGTACAAGCTTTTTTGTGGGCCAACCTTTTATTTTTTAATCTCTCACATTGTATGGATCACATTAAGTTTGTTTTCAGAGAGTTGTTGAAATTACAATGGAAGTACAAGTGCCTGAATTACAGCTTTTGAATCTCTGTTATACAAGTTTTTTTTCCTTACATCTTCTAATCCTATAGCTCCAGGAATTTAAAAGTTCTGGACTTATTTCCCATATTCAAATAAAATTCAAGTATGGTAGAACTTGAACAGAAATGTATAAAAGTAATCTCTGTTGAATGGATGTATGAACAATTAGAGCTCACTTTTGATTCGATTCTCTGAAAATAAGTTCACGCATCTTCTTATAGCTCATTCGGATCGGAATATTTTTCTCAGAAGAAGACGTTGGCAAATCTAACGGTTCTTTGATTGCATTTATGAGGGAATACCACAGTTGAAAAGAAAATGTTAAATTGCCCTTTTTTACTAGTTGAAGCGAGGCTGAATGTGATCACGTTTCATTTCTTCTCTTCCTACTGGAAAACTCATTTCACGTTTCATTTTCCCAGCACGGTTTAAAATTTATTTGGAAACTCATTAATATTATCAGAAATACCGAGAATCCTTCGCGATCGGTCGGAAAAACGTCACTGTGCTGAAATCCGAAATAATTCATCCATGGATGTTGATATCAATCGAAATAGATGATGCAATACGTTCTTTTTGTCTATTATTTTTTGCCTTCAAATCGCGGGTGATTTCATTCGATACCTTCATACATGGAGTAATTTTGTTTCCGAGGCGAAAGGTCGAGGTTCGATTTGACCTGTTAACATTCTACGGATCATCAGAGAAAATTGGTTCCGCTCATGGTTGGGATCATGAAGGTTCCTTGACAAAAAGCAATATTATTTTTGGTACGGATGAACACTATAGAAATGCTCAAAGAAGGACAACAAGTTGATATACAATTAATTTTGTTGTACACGCAATAATAAGCAGCAGTTCATAAAAAATAAGATGTACCTCGACAAAAGCGAAATCCGTCGTATAAAGTCATTATTGCACTCATGGAATCATCATCACAATGAATACAGGCATATCGGAAGTTTGAAACTTCTGAAAAAGTTGAATTTTGGGG